CAACTGTATGACGGGGGAGGAAGATGGCAACGCCAGCCTCGAGGCTGTCCCTGCAGTAGATGCTCTTCGTGAGCTGAGCAAGATGTCCCTTCAAGAGTTTGGCAATGCCTTGAAAGCAGGCGATTAGGCCGAAGTGTCATTGTACGACTGGACTAGGAGATAAACTCGTCATCGCTCCTGGATGAAGCTGTCTTGGGAGACACCAGGAGAGTGGTGAACGCATGGAGTGGATCATCGATCCTGTAGGATCCCTCAGATCCGTACTATTCTTTGGTAGAGCAATTTCAAGACGTCGTCTCCAAAGACCCGCCGTCGGTCCTACCTCCGGACCAAGGTGCGCGTCTTGCGATCGACCTGGTGCCGGAAACCAAATACTGCATAGCACGCCAGTGGCCCATGCCCAAGAAGCAGTGTGACTATATTGTCGTTATTTCTCATTGTAGGAATGGTGCATTAGAGCAAGTCTCCCCACTCGACACCCACGTTTTGTGTCCGGAAGCCGAACGGCAAGTATCGTATCGTTCAAGCTTACGATAAGCTCAATGCTGCCACCATTTTTGACACAGACGTCGAATCCTAGAAAGGATGTTCTCCAGAACAACATGGCTAGCTCTACAAAGTATAGCGCACTCGACTTGCTCGATAGTTTTTACCAATTCCTCACGAGAGCGAGTAATCTTCCGCTGGTAGCGGTGAGTACTCCGATCAGGATCCTCTGTAAGTGGTTGAGAATACTTAAAGCGCAGTCAAATGCATCAGCAACACCAAGCCCTGAGCCATGGGATGGCAACGTCAGCGAGACTCGAGAAAAAAATCTCTTACGTAGAACAGTGCGTAGCCGGTAGGTGAATGCACTGCATTGTTCAGAGCGAACTCCACAAGTGGCAGCATAGTGCTCCAGTGCTTCGGCGTCTCGGCGCAGACGATGCGAAGTATTTTTCAACGACGCGGTTCATGCGCTCACTTTGATCATCGGTCTGCGGATGAGTCAACTTGGTGCCCAGCATCCTGAAGATTGTAGACCAAACCTTTCCAGTGAATCGTGGGTCTCTGTCAGAGACAATTGACTCCGGAAGTCCATGTTGTAAAAAAACAGCGTCGCTGTACCCACACCGCCGATGACGTCCGGCACTGCCCCAAGATGAGTCATCTTGCTCAAACAGTACACATAGACCACCGCACCCGTAATGCACGCCGAGTCCTTCGGCAGACCAGATACAAAATCCATACCCATGGACTGCCAACACCCGGAGGGGACTGGTAAACTGGCCAGCGGCGTTGCCGCATTCGGAGAGGCTTTCGATCATGGACATGACTCAAACGTGCGCGCATATGCGCTCGACCATTTGTACAACTTGGGCCACCATAAGTGGTAACTCACAGAGCTGTACATATTTGCATGACCGAGATGACCACTAGTGGAGTGTCGTGCGCAACATTGAGAATAAGGTATTTCAAAATTTCATCGTGAGGAGCCACAATTCGCGGCGTATCCGTTGACGCGGTTCAATAATACATCAAACCGTTATTATACTGATATCGGTGTAACCGTGCGCGTAATTGCGCCGACAATTCTTGTCCAAGTTTTCAAACTCCTTGCTCCCTAAAGCTTGTAGCAGCGCTTCACATATACTGTCGCCGGTGTAGCGGCGTGAATCAAATCTGTAACTGACGGCGTCACCGTCGTGACACGAGCAAGCTCATATTCCGGTCTGCGTGACAACGCATCAGTCAAAGCATTCTGCGCTCTGACTAATACTTCACCTCAAATTTATATTCTGCGAAGAAGAAGAGCCATCTGGCCATCCTCTGTGAGAGATGAGGTGACTGAGTCTCAGTGCGCAAAGACGCATGATCTGCGTAGATCACAAACGGCTTTGAGCCAAGCAGGTGCACCCTGAACTTGACAAGTGCATACTTTAGCGCAGGTAATTCCTTGCCGTGAATTGGGTAGTTCCTCTCCGCAGCCTCCTGCTGGCCAGATTTCAACGCGATCACTCGATCTCGCCAGTGCACAGTAAAAGACATAGTCTGAAGTGTCACAGGCGACACAAAAAATGGACGATTGGGGTCTGACAACTCCAGTATTGGAGTATGAAGGAGGCTTTCTTTGACCCTGTGAAAAGCCTTCCGATGACCGGTGTCCCAACACTATTCCTTATCTTTTCTAAGGAGTAAGACAATCCCCGTGCCATTTCTGCATAATTTGTTATATACTTTGGCGAGGCCAAGCCACTTGTGCAAGTCCTTTTTGTTTCTTTGGAACCGGTCAGTCCATATTGGCCTTGACCTATGCGGGATCCGCTTGAAGGCCATGCTTCCCAATGAAGAATCCATGAAAAGGGATTTCTTTCGCGCCGAAGATGTTCTTATCGGCATTAGCATACAGCTTATTCGTCGGTATGAGCTCGAGCGCCGCTCATGAATAGATAATGTGGTTTTTCTCATCTGTCCTCCAGTGACCCGCACGACTGTGGACGAAGATGTTGTCCAAGTCTGTTTTTGCATATGCCCGGTGAGCCATGTCATACCAAGAATAAAGTCATACTTTCCATCCAAAGATAAGCCTAAGCAGCGTTCCGCGCAATCAAAGTCAAATTCTTTACATCGAGGTCCACAGGAACCCTCGGCACAGTGACACAAGTCCCCATCGCTAAGCGTGCAATTACGGTGTCACTCAACCGCGCTTCAAGCGCCTCAGCATTTAGCTGACTTCCTTTGATCGTGGATCATTATTGCCCGACCCACAAGAATCGATAAAGATCCTCCATGGCTTCTCAGAGCCTTCACGGTCGCTTTTACGACCAAAAAGCCCGGCTTGCACAAACGTTCCGTGTTTAAGAGCACGGAGCTCTTCGGGGCTGGTCCATGCTGCCCTCAACCTCTTTGAGGCCCAACAGAACTCAGTTCTTACCCAGCAGGGTGCTCCGCGCCTACTGGGTTTTGTCGTTTCCCCGCGACAGACTGCTTTGAAGCGGGACGTCTGTTTTAAGAAATATTACGCGCCATGCGCATGGGAACATTAGTCTAAGGGTGTCTCACAGACAAACATGGCGGGTGTTTACACACTACTCATCAGCTTGGAGCTCTCCCCCCTCCTTCTCAGCATAGCTGGGATTCATTGGCTCAGGCTCGCCTGACGAAATCTTAGGGTGTGCATTCCAACCAAGCTGTCGGCACTTGTCACGTTCGGCGCAGGTGCACTTAAAGTTAAATTCGGCATTCAATGTCACATTCGCCCCTTCTGAACGAGAAGACAGATGCCCATGGAGGAGTTCCATTCTGGACACGCCAGTGCGGAGGCCCTCCATAAAGACGGTCACTGCGACCGCCTCGGGAGGAAGATCGGCTGCCATCCCGGCAATGAGTGCTCTTAGCTCTTGAACAAAATCCACCAACTCCTTCTTGTCCTGTAGAGCGGCAAGAAATCGCGATCACAAGCGATATGCCTGATTAGGCGTCGAAAACATTCGTAACAGCTGCAGTTTCAGCTTCTTCTAGGAGAGAAAGCCGCTTTGACCGAAGCACCACACATTAGTGCCCATTCTCGCGTTCAGTCTCCGAGCATGGAGATAGCTAGCGCCATGTGCAGTTACTCGTTCTGGAGCATGGCGGATACCACAGCCATCTCGGCCTCTCTTACCCAGAGCAGGAGATTCTCTCCATCCTTTTCCTCGAAGGTCTTAACGCTCATCATGAGCGGCCTGGGTTGGAAGGAGTCATCCGTCGTCGACGGTGGCGTCATGGACGCAGTCGACGCTGACAGATTCTTCTGTATATTCTCTAAAAGAGCATTTTGCATAGTTTGAAAACGCCTCTAGGCACGAGCTTATCGCCTCAGGTCCTTGCAAAGCAAGGTGTTGCACACCCTCAGGGCCAAGCATTTACATTGGCTTATTAAGCCCGTCCTGCATGCCATGGGGCAAGAAGGAGAATTGATGCATTCTCATAGAAGATCAGTCCTAACGACTCAGGCGAAGATTGACAACGAGTGCTACCAAATGCAGCGGGCCGCCGTAGCTCTTTGCTCAGAGGAAGCTTACTAAGGTCACCGATATTACGTTCTATACAAGAATCAGTACGAGTGTAGTGGATCGCAATCCGCTATCTCCAAGAGTACCCAAAACCTTGACCTAGGCAAATACACTCTTTCATTCAAAGTTGAAACTGTACATAATTGTTATATGTGGCAGAGCCGACTATATCGAAAGCCTTAGGTTTTCCTAGTTCAATAGTTAAACCTAATCATTATGCACAACTACTGTCTTCTTGTTATGGTGTAGCCACACCATTTTGTGATTACTTCAACTTGTGTTATCCATACCTTAAACGGTCACACCATCCGCCACTTTCATACAGGGATACGTGTAACCCAGTTACAGTTTAGACGACCTGAAGAAATCGCTGTCGAATTCGGACCGTCCATACCACAATTGAACGAGGATTCCAAGACTCATAAAATGATATTTCCAAATTAAAAGTATACCTATACATGTAGAAATGCTTCATAGTTCCTATAGCCATCATGTTTACTCCAATATGACATGATACCTGTGATAGTCGAGCTGTTGCATCAACTCCAAGGCTATGCCGAAAATTAATCAAGCAGTCATCATGAGAATGTCAGCTGAGAAACTTATACCCGACTTGAGATGTACTATCGCATAATTGTGGGTTAGGTTTTCAAGAACTGTGATCACCAAGATGCTTTGCTTTCGCTAACTTTCACTTGAGTCTTTTGTATTGCGTGTTTTTCAACAACTACAACAATAAAATCAACATTGAAGGCATCTGAGTACGTGTAGTCTGCAATGTCAACTTCATGTATGGATTTACATAATGCGTTACGACGTATGCATATGGGCTTGATCATGTGTGAATGCAAGAATATTTCACACTAAAAATATCAATTACACATTTCGGATTCAGTCGCACGATTAGTTATCAAATCTGACATAAACCGTGCAGTTTGCAGCCAGACATTGGACTTGCAGTAAATTAATATTGTGCCTCTACATCACGCTCAGACAGCTGCTTTCCCGTTATATTTCAACTACACCCCGAAACTTGTTATTCTCCACGGCATCGCCGAGCTCTTCGAATGGTGCACAACTACAATGACTAACCTTCCATAGTAAGTACTTAATGGGAGTTCTGCTCTAATTTAAAGTCAAAAACCATCTCCCAACGCTTTTCGTAAAATATATTGTCTCTCAAAATCAGAATCGGATTAGACAGGGTAGCAACGTTTAAGACGATCTCATATCGTGTGCTAATGGAATCCCCTAAAGACTCAATCCGACGCCACGGTGATAATTTCATGGGCAGCACAAATTCTCCTCGCCTCAGCTTCACTCGCAACGCATCAGTGTCTGCACCCGTGTCACCCTCCATGCCCGTGCCTTCACAGACGACGCCGCTTCCGCCTAGGACGGCATCGCATCCACAAGCCAATGCAACCGTCCGCGTTGACTGCAGCACGTCTACGACTGTATCTAATACTGTGAAGCTCCTGAGTGAATTAGAGCGATCTTGGGCCATGTTTTCTGCTAACTGGCGGGTCGTGGACCTATTTGCGGGTCTTCAAATATGGCAGGAACAGATTGGAGAAACAGGAAGCGGCTCTGAGCCGCTTAATAATGTGCTACTGTCTACAGCGTCTGCCGGGCTGGTGACTTTTTTAGCTGGACATATTGGTGGTGGTGGATTCTTTGTGTCGTTGTTGCTTACGCTGCTTGTAGTGACAGCAGCGCTCTGGACATTGTCTGATGCTCGAGCTAAGACTGCAATACCATGTTTTAAGACACTGCAGGTAGTGGATGGATCTCCGTCAGAAATTTTTATGTACTTGATGTGCATCAATAATTATCCCATTTGGGACGCATCGGTGGAGAAAGCAGAGGTAGTGCATACTATTGATGACCACTCTGATATAATTCATATTATCTATCGACCTGTTTGGATGTGGCCAGTGTAAGTTTCTTTATTGATTGGATTAAAGATGCAAGTGTTTGTGCTAATGTGTGTTTTCTATTGACTAGATGGTTAACGCCAAGGGATCTTTGCTTGTTACGATATTGGCGACGGGCTGAAGATGGGTCTTATGTAATTTGTATGCAAAGTGCATTACATCCTGAGTGTCCGCCAATGGATGGACTTGTGCGTGCGACCTGCAAAGGTGGAGGTTTCATCATATCGCCTAGTGTCACACAGCTGGACGAAATGACGTCCATGGTTACAAATGTGATCCATTTAGACCCTCAAGGATGGGAAGGCAATTTATTACAACGTCTGAACATGATGCACTTGTATGTACGACCTCAAGTGCTATCAGTTACTGGTTTGAGAGATGTCATGGAAGCGCGTAAATATGTGTGTCCAAATGTACCTGAAGAATTCTCAGCAGCTCTTGCATCGTCAACAGAAGAACAGTATGGCAAAGCTGCAAGTCAGGAAGAAGGGGCAGGTGGTGGCACTATTGGTGATCCTGAAGCGCCGGTCTCGATGCTGGAAGATTTTCCAAGTAATGTGCCGCGAACGATGTGGGCCGAGCCAGACGGTGCAGCGATGATGGTACGAGGACCTGATTACCTAACCGATCGACGGAAAATCCCATCTCAATCACCATTCTTTCGGCTCGTAGGAATGGATCTGTTTGAATCGTCTGAAGTTATTGAACATATTGCATCACGTGCAGACAATACGATTCAGCGCGAGCTGCGGCGCCATGAAGAACGAGGTACTGAAATGCCATTTACGTTTATCGTGAACTTTGTGGTACCAGGAACCCCACGCATTAATCTCGTACTGTACTATCAAGTACCTCACCCATCTGTCTTGACTGACGGTTCTCCGTCCTCTGAGTTGATGGCTGACTTTCTGAATGGATCTGATGAATTTCGCAACGAGCGGTTTAAGCTCATACCTTGCATCGTAGAAGGTAGTTTTATAGTGCGTCAAGCAGTGGGGTCTACTCCATCTTTGGTTGGTAAAAAGCTGCGTCAGCCCTATCACCGTGGTAAGCAGTACTTTGAGCTAGACGTCGATATTGGCTCGTCAGCAGTGGCAAATCGTGTGGTTGGTCTTGTGTCAGGATACACAAAAAAGCTAGTTATTGACATGGGCTTCGTATTAGAAGGTCAAAACCCCGATGAACTGCCTGAAAGGCTGTTTGGAACTTGTCGTCTGGTTCATATTGATTTGAGTGTCGCCAAGAAGCTCACGTGACTTCTAAAGCTTGTTGAGGTAGATGATAGACAGTCAGAGGAGTATACACCCCTTCTCACACCCGTTAGAGGAGTATTAAATACATGTTTCACACGTCCGCTCTTAAATTATCAAGTGGAGGTGGCTAAGGCTATGACTCAAGAAAAATACGTTCGAGTGAATTGTAATCTTTCACAGCTCATGACGTCTAGTTTCGGATAAACGCTTCCTGCTGCGATAATGTTGGAGTCAAAGTGTAATGATTTAAACTTGATTGAACTTAGCCTAGCACCAGATCAATGAACGTTCAATCATGATATTTCTTGTGCAGCATACTCCGCTACCCATTTATCCATTTTAAAGCTGTCGCAATTACTCGAAAACCAGGGATACAAGTTTGTCATAACAGTAAGTCATGAAACTTTATAATTGTCATTGCGTTACGCGAAACATATAAACTTGTAGGTGAAAAGACAATACTAAGTTAAATTGTCACCCAAATATTTATTTTAAATTTTTGGGTTGCTAACTGTAAATTTCTTTTCTTGCTGAATAAAAAAAGTTGTATGAGCGAGAAAGACGTAGCTAACCAGTTGGACGAGGAGGTCGTGCTGCCTTGTGTTGAAGCAGTGACTAACGAGGAGGATGTGGAGGAGGTCACACAGTCACTTGAAGATATATTGGCACTTGGCCAAGGTCTAGACGACGAGGACTACAAAGCTGAACTTGAGGTTTTGCAGAACGACCCCAACTCGAATCTCTATTCTGCTGTTACCTTTGAGGAACTGAATCTGTGCGCTAATTTACTCTTTTGAAGGATAAAGTGTTTAGCCACTAATAAAATGTATCATGGATAGTCCGGAACAGCTTCTGAAAGGCGTGTATAACATGAAATTTGCCAAGCCATCCAAGATTCAATCAGTGGCGCTTCCACTTATTCTCGCCAAGTAAATGCAATTGACTATACGATGTATTTAATAACGTGGTTAACTTATATTGTACTGCTGATACTCTTTAGTCCTCCCGAAAACCTTATTGGCCAGGCACAGAGTGGTAGCGGCAAGACTGCCACGTTTGCGCTTGGTATGTTGTACCGTGTAGACGTGAACCTGAAGGCTCCACAAGCCATTTGTGTAGGTCCGACTCGGGAATTAGTGCGACAGATCATGGCTGTGGTAAACGCTATGGGAAAATTTATAGGCGTGGACACTTTTCTAGCCATTCCAGGCAACGATTTAGGTCGTGGTGAGAGTTTAAAGGCACAGATTGTCGTTGGTACTCCTGGCAAAGTTGAGGGCATTATCAAGAAAAAACAGTTAGATACTCGTAATGTCAAGATTTTTGTGCTGGATGAAGCGGATGTGATGGTTGCTGAAGACGGTATGCGCGAGCGTTCAGTAGCAATCAAACGTCTGATTAAATCCCGTGCGTGTCAGTATCTGCTCTTCTCGGCCACTTACGCTGACGATGTGCGCGACTTTGCTCAAAAAATGGTGCCTGATCACAACATTATAACGGTCAAGAAGGAAAAGCTCACGCTGGACGGTATTAAACAGTTCTGGGTCGACTGTAAGTCTCGCGAAAATAAGTTTGAGGTGCTGTCGGATATTTTCGCTATCTTGAGCATTGGAAAGTGTGTCATTTTTGTCCAGCAGCGGGAAACAGCCAAAGAACTAACGCGTCGTATGCGTGACAAGGGCCATTCTGTTGGGATCTTGCATGGTGCCGATATGGCAAAAGAAGTGCGTGACCAGGTGATCGACGAATTTCGTGCCGGCACAACAAATGTGCTGATCACAACAAACGTACTTGCTCGTGGAATCGATGTGGCAGGTGTTTCTCTTGTTGTCAATTTTGACATTCCGCTTACTCGTGATCAACGGCCAGATCCAGAGACGTATTTGCACCGTATTGGCCGAACGGGTCGTTTTGGTCGCAAAGGGTGCGCAATTAATTTTGTACACGACAACAAGAGCAAGCAGGATCTAGCTGAGATTGAAGAGTACTATGCACGTCCCATTACCCAGGCTCCTGCAGACGACATTGAGGAACTCGAAAAGTTGTTAGCGTGGGAATAAAACGAAGTAGAATGCAGACAGCAAATGAAACGAACAAGAAATCTCATCAAAGTTTTCATCTAATTGCTTTATACGCTAAAAAAATTTACCTTCTTGTCGTCGCCCCCTGTGGCAAAAGCCACGTTGCTATTGTGTTGGTTTCGCCATGACAGATCCAACAACTTTCCTTCGTGTGCGCTTACTGTGTGCAATGGAATTGTACTACGCACGTCCCAAACCTTAGCCGTACCATCATAGCCACCAGATAGAAACAGATGCTCATGATTATTGTCGTTGGGATGCCACGCCACTGAACTCACCCATGCTTTGTGCGATCGAAAGGTGCGCTGCACGATACTTTCGCCACTCTGCTGTGCACGTGGATCCCACAAACGAATACAGTGGTCTGGATGAGCTGTAAGAATCAAACCGTGAGCATTCACGCTCAAATCGGACACGGCGCGGTTGCCTACAAGCGACTGCGAGCACGATTGGGTCACGAAATCCCATAAGCGGACAACACGATCACTGCCAGCGGATACAACAACATCTTCATCATGCTTTGAAGTCGTAGGACGAAACGCAACACTTGTCACGTAGCTCGTGTGACCTGTCAGTACGATCGCAGCCTCGAGGTGTTGAAAGGTTCCGGAACTTGAGCCATCCGCTGTGTTTTTCTGCTTTTTCGTCAAGCGCTGATCACTTGGAACATTTAAATCGATTGGATTCTGCCACACTCGTACCGTGTTGTCCCAGCTACCCGTAATTACTCGCTTTCCTGAAGCATGCATCTGCACACTGTCAACACTATTTAAGTGACCAGTCAACATCGCCAATGGTGACAAATCGGCCGTTTTAACAGAATATCGCCATATCTGCGCAAGCTGATCTTTTCCACTGCTAGCAATCACAAACTCTCCACTTTTATCGCAGGAAGCCACACTAATTGATTTGATAGCTCCTTGATGTGCTTTTACTGATGCCTGGCAGTCTCCTTGAGTGTCAAACACACGCAGCACACCATCATAACAGCCAGTCACGACAAAATCGTCAGTTAAATCAGCTATTGCACTGACCCAATCTGGAAGGTCGTTCTTCTTGTGATTCTGTGGCTCAGGTAGTGCTTCCACGTACTCTAGCGTAAGCAGAGCTTCATCTGATAAGCCGTGCGTTTGTAGATACTTGAATAATGACGAGCGTAGAAATAAGCCGTTGATAAGAAAATCAAAAGGTCGCAAAGAATTGCCAGTATTCAGTAAATGGTTGACCACTTGAGAGAGTCCACGTCGATTTAAGTGCGTGGGTACTGCAAACGGCGTTTCTGTCACGCGGATGGACGCATCCTTTGTCACAAATTTCACTCGAATCTGTAGCAAATACAAGTGCAGCACAATATTTTAATTTATCAAGCATTTAAAGAGATGAAGATGCCGCACAAACCTGAGGACCATCTTCGTCCATACTTGTTGTGATACAATGATGTCCTTTTGACTGGTAATCAAAGCAACGACATGCCATTGGACAAAAGAATTTTTTTATTTGTAGTGTTTCATACATGAAATAGTAAGTTTTTTTCAAAAATATTCGTATTATCTCCTTGCTGCAACTAGGCTAGAGATAGAGCGAAGCCGCAAAGACAATGTCGCGCTTCAGTTTCTTGCGACCTTCGTCAAACTTTTTTTCTAATTCCACATCACCAATCGAATGTGCTGCAAGCGTCAATTGGCGCAACAATTCTTCCAATCGACGCAAACATCGAATAATTGTGCCTTCATATGCATCCGACATTTTACAAATTTGTGAAAATTTGGCGCCCTGACACCAGGCAATCACGACATCCACAAGACTTGTGTTAAACACATCTGCATATTCTTCAACATCAATCGTCATTTTCGCCTCTTGCATGACTTTGGCAATGCGTTTCGCCGTATCGCGCAATTGTCGGACAGGAATCTCCAAACTTTCAGCTTGTGGTGGTTTATCACTATCTTTTTTCTTCTCTGTATTGATCAAACAGCTCAACAATGCTACCGTGTCATTCACAGATAAATCATTAAATTGACCATTGAAAATCATTTCAGTCACCAACAACTCGTCCGTAGTCGAGACTTCACACGCTGTACGTCCCTTGCGTTGTATCACACCTTCCTTATCTACAAACTCTAATCGTCGCAACACTCGTCGACGACGACGCAAATCATCGCGTAGAACCAACGACTTCGATTCTTTAATTTGTCGTTCCAGTTCTCGTATCTTAGCTTCACTCTCCACTTTTAAATTATACAATGCAAATCGAGCATTCTTGTCGGTTGCATTGTGGAAAGCCAAAGTTTCAAGTTTATGCTCCGCATCTACTGTCTTATCAATAACACGAGTGAAATGTTCGTCTTGAATATCCATGTCTTCACGAGGATCCAGAAGCGGAACACCCTGTGGAAAGCGACGCAACACTTCTTTTAACGACTTGCCTACTGCTTGACGACTTTCCAATGTCCGTAAATCCTTGGGGATATAAACCCGAAGAGTTGCGACTAAATCCAGCATCTCTAATGGTACCGGACAAATCTTCATCTCATACATTGTCGTAGACGATAAGCCCATCATTCCTTCCGGTGCTGGCTTTGGCAACTCAGCGACAGAGCTACCATTCGTAGCATCCTTTGACTTTGCGCTACTATTCTCTACAATGCAATTAAGTAGTATGTGTACAATCGTATCTGGTGTAGCAGATGTAGCATCGCTGGCGTTTTTCGTCGTAAAGTTGACAATGACACCCCAATCCCATCGATTGGCATCGTCATTATCTGGACAATAAAGCTTTACTAAACGACCTCCATTTAAAAAGCGCACGAGATAATCAGGCTTGTTACGAACAGCCAAAAATTCCTCTTTAAGACGCACAAGAGTTCGCGACAAATAATAATACTGCGCCACTTCTTCTTCGTTTTTAATCACAATCTGATCCCTTTCTTCCTTCACGCGAGCCAGCGCTTCTTCTAATGCTGGAGCTGATTGTTCGCTTTGAAACTGATGAAAGGACTGTTTGATCATGTACTCGGGATCAGCATCCTCAACGCGCATCAAGTTAAGAAGCATATTGTATCCAAGATGAAATGTGCTGAACAACGGGTCAGCTTGACCGTATAGTATGCCCTTGGCAACCTGTGGCTCCATCTGTTCACTCAGCATCTGAATGACGATACCACGTGCATCAAGTGAACGTCGACCTGCACGTCCTGACATCTGAATATACTCACCAGCCGTAATCCAGCGCATTTCTTTACCATCAAACTTGCGACAATTTGTAAATACAACCGTCTTAGCTGGCATATTTAAGCCCATAGAGAATGTCTCTGTAGCGAATAGACATTTTAACAAACCTTCACCAAAGAGAATTTCAATCACCTCCTTCAAAATTGGTAACAGACCACCATGATGGATGCCGATTCCACGTCGAAGTAGTGGCAGAATCGAGTCAACTTGCGGTAAAGCGCGATCATCATCTGACAGCGAGTCCATGGCATTCTTAAAAAGCTGATCAACGGATTGTTTTTCTTCTTCTGTATTAAAATCGAGCTTTGACATCAGCAAGGCGTATGCTTCGCAATCTCGTTTGCTAAACGAAAAGATAATCACAGGATCATATTGACGTTCCATAATGAGTTTGACAATACGAAAAACATCCGACCCCACTTTTTTCTTTGGATTGTTCTTTTGGGCTTTGCGTCGTTTTGTGTTCATTCCTTGCAATGTAAACTCCGTCATTGCATCTTCCACAGATGCTGAAAGCGTTGCTATGGCCTTTTGAAAGTTATCTTCGCGAAATTTCCCTTTTTCATCAACCACAAGATGCAATCCACTACCTCCAGCTGGAAACACATAATGCTGCAATGGAGTAGGACGATAGTCGGTATACACAACATGGCATGGTTGATGATGAATATGGCAGATCCATCCTGCAAATTCTTTGGAATTTGGAATTGTAGCTGATAGAAAGACAAATCGCACCTTATGTGGCAACAAAATAATACTTTCTTCCCACACGACACCTCGTTCCTTGTCTCGCATGTAATGAATTTCATCGTAAATGACCCACGCTACTTCGCGCATGATTTCGGACCCACGATACAACATACTTCGTAAAATTTCGGTCGTCATAATTAAACACGTTGCTGATGGATTGATCGTAATATCACCTGTCATAAGACCCACATCACCAAACTCTTCTTCTAAATCTCGATATTTTTGGTTACTTAGAGCTTTAATCGGAGACGTATAGATCACACGCTGCTTGTCTCGTAAACTCTTTGCAATCGCATATTCAGCCACAGCCGTTTTACCAGCTGAAGTGTGGGCTGACACTAGTACAGACTCTCCAGCTTCAATGTAATCTACAGCCTGCTGCTGGAATGGATCCAAAGTGAACGGATACGTCTTGGCAGGGTTCTTAGCTGCTGCACCCGTTGTAGGCGTAACCTCGTAGTCTGGCGGATACACTGAAAAAGAAATAAGATTCTTGTGTTGCGTGCCAGTAGATACTACAGTGGCGGATTCTTTATCATCGCCATCCACAGGAGTTGCGTCTATTCGTCTTCCTTCCACGACCTTAATAGTTGTCGAGATTGGACATTCGCTTTGCTGCTTCTTTGCAGGAGGTGACAACTTCTTGTCATCATTTGGCAAATTGGCAGGTGCATCTTTTCGCTTTAACGATGTAGCGGCCAATTCTTCGGTCGTGAGCGTCGCGGAAGTGTCGTCAAACGCACCGAACAAGTCTAGCTCTTCGTCCATCGTGGTATCGGAGAGAAAAAATGGCTGGAGGTACGATAGCTTGAGGTGGACCACGCATATTATTTATCAAATGAAAAATAGGATTTATTGATGAACTATTTTCAATTAAATTTTGCCATTGATCATAGAAGCAGAAGTAGTCAATGAAAAGAAACTTGGCTGCTGATTTATTCAAAATCCTTTGGCTCAACTTGACAAGCAGCTACAGAAAATGCTAAATGTGTACAACGCACGTATATAATATGGCTATGTTTGATTTTCAATAAATGTTCAGATGCAACAATTTAATGCAGAAGGACTTGTTTGCCACGGTGTCTAGTATTGCGAACGAGAAGTACTACTTTCACCATATTTCAAGTTCGCTCCTTAAGCTTTATCGTGTCTTTCATGTTGCGAAAGAACTGTCATCTCGTATTACGAGATTTCACCTCTTATCGTGATGCAGGTGGTGCGGCTCAAACCATCTCAGCATGCTAAAAGGGATCTACTTTGTTGAATGCTTATGAGCACCGCGGTGGACCATCGGTCATACGCCTCACGCTTCGGTCGTTTCGGCAAGAAATGATCGTTTAATAGAAGAACACGTGCATTCTAACAGCATGCACAATCAAAGCCTTGATACACCTGGTTGTCACAATCGTCATTGTAGATGCCTTTCCTAATTCTTACCACAAATCGATTACTTGAACACGCAGATTTCGCTGCAGCTATGCAGTGTCTTAGCAGTTAAGGTATCCAGCCTTGAAGTATTGAGTTTTCACTTGGCAGGCCATAATGGCGCCGAAGAATGCGGCGAGAACGTTACTCGTTGACATGCTGCATATGTCCAGTTACCTCGACTGTAAGCCGCGATTAGTAGGACCAGTTTCTGAAGCTCAAAAGGATGCTTTATTCTTGTCGTGGTATTACAACACAGCTATGTCAGTACTACTGTGTGATGGATCCCCTGTTCTCTTCTATTCGCTAACGGAGCAGTGAAGCATGACGGGTAATTGCCGATAAAAATAGTGAATATAGCGGCTGCGATAGTCCTTATGTTTCATGTCTTCCCTCCTTAGCACCGGCAGAAGCTCTTATAAAGCTGGTAAAAGTTATTTTAAGGATATATGAGAGGATTAGCAAAACGGTGAAGTCACCAATACAGTACGATTAGAGCTGAAGAAAGGCTGAGCTTGCCATCCGTCATGGATAAAATTTCATTGAGGACACTTACAGCGCACTGAGTGTGAGATGAGAGACATATGTGTCCTACGAACCATCTCTATAGATTGTTGAAGGAAGACCACGCGGTGGTCAAGAGTGAATTACTATAATTCTCCACTTCCCGATAGGTCAGTGCGCTATAAAATTGACTTGATCTCCAGAATCAAATATTGCGTCCCACGACAATGGCCTCCTCAGTGAGCTTTATCAAAAGTTATTTGCGTGCAGAGCAGGACGCAGGTTTGGTATAAGGGAGTTAATCTCCCCACTCGCTGCCCCTTTTACGGCAGAAGGGTAACGGCGAGTGGCGATTTGCGCTTGATATATGGAAGATAGACCAGCCGCATTTCCGGTGCAAACGAAGATTTTTGATAGGGTGTATCTAACTTTGTTTAGTTTTCGCAACGTAATTGATGAAGATTATCAGTTACATGAAGCGGTAATGATATCCCTGATTTCCTAGACAGGACGCTCCGGAAGTGGCTAGTTATGCTACATAGACTGCCTATAACACCGAAACGTCAACTATCCAGCGATGTAGCTGCTCAGGCCGAATAGTGGCGATGCGCCAAGTCGTTTCGACTATATTTTCATTCATAGTTGTGCAAAGCACGATGAAATGGTTGTGAAGAACTACTTGCGAGCAGCGTTCAAATGGAAGCACTTAAATGATATATTTAGCAAAACATAGACAAGTGTGTGGTTTGGAGCCGACAGATTGAATTCTGGGCTGCTCCGTCGAGAAGTATATCTTGCGGACAGGCATCGCAAACATCAAGGCCATCGTAGAATATTCGATGCCACCGTCTTTATGGACCTGAGAAAGGAACCCGCTTCGGACATTTTTTACGCAAGTACCTTAGAAAGATACGTCGGCAGGGAGTCCCTTCCCGTCAACTTTAAAAGGATATCAAATGGCGCATGGGTGTGGAAAATGAGGTGGGTATTCTAAGGCAGTGAAAAAAACTTATGAAGCGCAACAATCCGGACCCTTACAACTTCACATCGGCCATACCATTCCGTCAGTGACGCTTCAAGCTTTTTCAGAGATTGTGCCCTACTCCATAAATAAACGATGGGAATGTGTGATTGTATTTAAATTTTGCCAGCGTGAAGAGACAGAAAGCACATATTTGCGCACAAGTAAAACGAATCATTGGGTCGAAGCCTCGCTGCTTACGGTTAGATTTTTGGCCAGATTGACGGTCTTGGTAGAAAGTTGGCAATCTATCAGTATGGACTTTTTTGGTCTCCAAAAGACGCGTCCAGTAATACCGGTATTGTTATTTTTTTGTGGATCGACTGAGTAAGATGACTTATCTTGCTGCTGTCGGTGAAAATGAGGTCAGTGAATGCAGCCAAGCTGTCCTTCGACGAGTGCTTCTCCAATATGACCTGCCGGTAACTTTCGTATCAATTATTGTTCTGCGCTTTACAGTATAGTTTTGGCTACTTGTTTTGAATGTGCTCGACATCAAATTGAATATGCCACTTGCTGTCCATATAAAAGTAAATGTTCAGTCGGAATGCACTGATCGCAATACTCGCGCGGAAAGATGTCAGTGCTGGGGCATGTGGCTTTCACTCGTTGAGTTTGCGCATAATACCGCAGCACATGCCTTTCCAGGCTAGCACCCAGGTGACTTTAACACCACCACGAAGTGATTCGGTCTGAAGTGGTACCGTCTGTTGATCGAAATCCACTCGCTTTTTTAGCCTAGATGCACTTCATAGAAAAATTAGTGATTTCATCTAAATGAGATTGACTGTCGTGCGCAGGGTATGGGTGAAAGTTAAGACAAGTGACATCAAATTGCAGGCGCAAAGGCGAACAAAAGCACATAATATGATATGTGTGAATAGGTTAATTAGTACAATTAATCCAGCTACACCTGCAGTGTATGAGGTCTATTAGACTAGTTTGCGACCGTGCTACACCGAACCGATTACGGTCGAAGAGAAGAATTTATCGAGTGACACTCTTATCATACCAAAAAGAATGTGAGCAATTCTAGTGTTCAACTGATGTTCAAGCAATTACAGGCCATCGAAAAGGAAGATTTCGGTTGTAGACGGAACAGCGGTTGTACCATCTCCTGTAGCTGAGATGCCTTCTGTGATGAGGTATTCAACCTCTGAAGAGACCGTTTATGCTGGCAAAGATCAAAAAGTGAAACGACGAGCTAAAACATATCAATTTTCGACGCGCACTAGAACTCTTTGGAGGAATCGAAATGCCGCTACACTTTTAGAGAGCTCACGAGAGTCATCTGCAGGAAGGTCGACAGCATTGCCTGAGCGAAGGGTGGCTCAATACTACGTGGAGCGATTGGTGAACCGACGGGTACACTAAAACTGTTACCAGTATGTGGTGAACGGAAAAGTAACCCTCATTATAGGAGTTTGACGTTCCATTTTGAAAGAATCTCCTTGGTGCCGCTGCCTCTTACGACCGGGCGAACACTCGGTCTCTCTCTTCTTGTCGAAAGTCAGGATGCTTGTCTCAGCATAGTGGGTACGAAATTTTTGATGAGAAGTGAGAAAACCCTTGGTTGATAGCTGTGCCTGCTGTATAATGAGCGTGAGTGGAGCTGAGAGTAATCAAGAACCGACGGATATGTAATTTCATTTCGATATACGCGTCAGGCTTTCTTCTCACAAAAAACAAGCTTTAGTCAACGCTTTGGCCGGGTGTCCGCTTCACTGAATCTAGCCTGATGTTACTCATCCTATGCATGATCTGAGTACGATACCCATCGGCGCCATCGAACGCTATCAGTATCGGAGGTCAACTCATGGAGGGTCCACCGCTGCTGCACTAGGCACACGTTATAATTTTGCGGAGTAGCAACCTGTGGAGATTTTCGGCAGTTGCGGAGCAAATTTCTTGCGCTTTTCTACTCTAGGTGAGAGCAGAAAGCCGGCGCATATCGGCATGTAAGGGCCTCGACCTAGCGCGGTGAGTAACTTACACGACTTGAAATTGTGCTTTCGACTGGATGATTTGGGTAAGAGTTGGTGTAACCATAGCGCTTGCACTTGCATTTAAAAAAGCCAGTTCATTGATCCAGGTCGCATTTGTTGGTGGTGCTCTAATGGGGATGTTGCAGCACTGCCCGCCGATTTATAAGACCACAAAGCGCGTAACTTATACAAACATAAGGCTGTGCAATCTACGCCTTCTCCTTGGTGAACGACTAAGCCGTGCGTCTTCTGTTGTGATTGTAGTGGGCTACTAGCCATTACACGAAAGTACGCCTATGTAACTTCTGTATGAATTGTCGGAGTTTATGAAGAAGATTACAATATGATGTCCCCAAATGCATCCGTGACGTCATATATGAAGTCACAAACTGTACAAGATTACACGTATCTTGGTATGAAAGGGTGGTTCACACCATCTTGCATGACCGTTAAAAGGTGTGCTTTACACAAGTTGGTGTAAATACACAATAGTGTGGCAACACCGTAACGAGAAGCAACTACGTAGCGGGACTGCCAGTCGCTATGCATATTAATTCGGCTTTACTATATAATTAAGGAAACCTGTAGCTTTGGATATAGGCAGCTCTGCCGCAATAAAACAAATAGATACAATTTCAAATTTGAAAAAAAGAGTTAAATCGCCCTGGTTAAGATTTTGAGTACTCTTGGAGGTAGCGGATTGCGATCCGCTACACTCGTACTGGTTCTGGTAAAGAGCGTTAGTTTGCTTAGCTCCCTTTAAACAAAGAGCTACGGCAGCCCCATTGCACAATTATTTTGTTTGATACAGAATGTTGGTTCTTACTTGAGTC